ATTATTCTTATTTTTTTATATCTATTTTACATTTTTTTATAGTGTTAAGTTATAAGTGTCAATAGACATTGTGTTTTTAATACCAAATTTAATTTAAATAATGATTAATATGATTAAAATATAGTGTTAATTAATAAATCCAAAAGATATTAAAGATTTCAACATTTAGATATATAAATATGATCTCTTTTAATATTGTTTCAGGTTTAAGAGAACAAACTACAATTGGCATGGATAACGGATAAGGCAGTTGTAAAGATCAAGATCAAGATCAAGAAAATAAAGAATTAATAAAAAAAATCAATTCTCGCTCGCTAGCTTGTTCGCTTGAGCGAGCAAACTCAGTGAGAACGTTCTTCTGAGTTGTTCATCCCTTGCTCTGTAGCTTGCTTTAGCGAGCAATGCAAGGGAGAAATTAAAATTAGCTCGTTGAGCAGCTTGCTTCGGCGAGGTCATAAGTGAGCTAATCCAAAGTTAAAAAGCCCAATTTATTTATTTAAAATCACATGTTAGGGCTCATTAAGGCATTTGGAAGACGGCAAAGATTTTGGGAAGAAGGCAGAGACTGAAGAGGAGCACTTCTGAAGATGATTGCAAAGGATAAGGAAGAAAAGAAGATCAAGAATCGACCGTGGAGTTTACCTGCTAAGTTTTTATTTCTTTTCATCTTTTGCTTTAGTTTCCATGAACATGCAAGGCTAATTTTCTTTATGTAGTTAGGGCGAGATGAAACCAATGGGTTCTTGAACGTTGTTTAAGTTTAGATGTAATTAATTTTCGTATTTCAATTATGCAATTAATCTATTTTAAATTCATAGTCTTATTGATGATCTGATCAATCTTAAATGAGCAGTAGATTTTTGCATGTCAATATGAATATTGTTTGCTTAAATCTGATTGGTTAATTGCTGGAATTTGTATATTCTAAGAATAGTCTTATAAATTCTATGACGCATAATTCTTGACCTTAAAGCTTGCTTTAGAAAAAGACTCTAAGGTGGTGTTTGGTAGGAGGATTTTTGTAGGATGTCTGGGAAAGTGAGGGTGGACATTCAATAATACCATGTTTGGTAACACTTAAAAAAAAAATTGCTGGGAAAATTGTATTGCTGGGGAAATTTTCTGTGTGTAATCTTAAACCAAATTCTCAAAGAAAAATACCACCCAGCGGGTGGTATTGTGATTTTGTCGGGTAAATGAAAAAGTTGATGCCAAAATTGTGTCAAAAGTAACCCTGAACAAATGTATTGAGAAAGGCAACACTGCTTCAGAGAACAACTCTAAAATGGCAATCCTTCTTTCGGCGAGTTTAGCTGCTCGACCTTGAGGGAGACGACCGACACTCGAACTTTCCACTAGGTTTCTTTGCACTGTACGAACAAGATCTACTAGATCTGCATGTCTTTTGTGTATATGGTTCCATTATGAAATTTTAACTTTTTAAGCTGAAAATAATTTTCTACTTTTTTTTAGAAAAAAACAAAGTTGAATGATGACTATATTTTTCATTTTAATTATTTTTCGTTGTCCTATATATGATTATCTGGGTTCAGATTACATGTGAAGTGAGTAAAATTTCATTTTGTTAACATGTTCGTTTTGCAGTAGAGTACAAACAAGGTCCGCATCTTTTCTGGCAAAAAGACAGTGAGCCAAATTGTGATGAATATTTAGAAAAAGTGGGGTATATTTGTAATATCACATCAAATTCCTAGTAATATTATATGGGAAAGGATATTGTGACAACCAAGTTGTGTTACTACCAAATGACTACCAATCAATCTCACTGTTAGATCGATTATGTGGATCCCACGGTTATATTTATTTCCATCTTTGTATGGTCATGATTCCCTATATTTAAAGTGAAAGCATTAAATATGGAAAATCATAACCATACAAAGGTGAAAATAAATATAAAGTATTAAATTTGGAAAATCATGACCATACAAAGATGGAAATAAATATAACCGTTGGATCAATATAACCGATCTAACGGTAAGATTGATTGGTAATCACTTGGTAGTAACACAACTTGGTTGTCACAATATCCTTCCCCATATTATATAATCAACCAAACATAGGCTTAATAAATTTCATCCAATATTTCTGATAAAATTTTGGCCTACCAAACAACTTTTTCTTAACTTTCCTATCAAACTCATTTTTCTACCACTTCCCTAGTAATTATATTTCCCTAGTATTCAAAAAATTTCTTCTCAACCAAACGCCCCTTAAGGGATTAGAGCCTTGGAATAAAGTAAAGAACTGAAACTACCGAGGGATTGAGGATTTAGTTAATTTAGAAAGAATTGTCAATAATTGATTGCGAACCTTAATTGCATGAAAGTTAAATCCATCATGAAACTATTAGGAAGTTGAATCCCTAGCTACACATGTTATTAATTAAAGTTAAAAATCATTTTCTTTGCATTATTAATTCTTGAATTCTATTCTTGATTTCTTAATATTTAAAATTAAAAATAATTTTTTTTAAAATTTTGTTTTACAAATTAAATTAATATTCTTCACAAATCCAATTTAAAGATCGATCCAAATTTGTGGGAACAACAACTTCACTTTTTTACACTACATTACTTGTACACCAATGCACATGTCGAAGCCACAACATTAAATTAGAATCTCAATCAACAATGAAAATAGTTGTAAAAAAAGAGTTAGTTGAGATTATGATTTAATCATTTGAAAAGAAATAGTAATAAAAGTATAAAAAGATAAACAATATTATTTTATTCTATAAAATACCTATAATTTAAAATATGATTTATGAAATAACAGTAGATATTGGGATAATTTATTTCTTATGCATTTAATTTTGGGAATATCAACCATTTCTCATATTACATAAAATAAATTATCTGATACAAACAATATCTCCCTTCTAATTTTTCTAATTTTAGGTGAATGTCTTTGAGTAACTGAGAGTCCATGTGTTGCTCTCTCTCCTGTGATGCCATTGTCAGTGCCCCTGCCAGCCTGCCATTCCCGAAGCCATAAAATAATAACAATATTATAATTTACTTATTTTCTTCGAACTTTTCATATACAATTTTTTTACGATTAGGGGCCAAGTAAATTGGTATTTTTTTCATCAAAATATTATTTAATTTAGCTATGATTCCCAACAACATTTCTATTTCTATTTGTAATAAAAATTACGCAACAGTAAAAATAAAAGGAATATTATTTATATAACATTTTTGTTTTGTTTTTAACAAAGGGTCAGGTCCTTGGTAGCAGTTCTGCAACTTCACTCCCACTGTGTAAAGTAAACAACAGCAAACCAGCTGTAAATAAACTCCCCCGTTGACGAAAATACCCCTGATAAATGCATCGCAATTACCCTTCATATTTGACCTTCTAATTTCAAATTCAATATCAAATTTGCAATGTTATGGGAAATGTAGTGGACGAAATTCCAACAATACCCCTACAGAAGATCATGGGTCAAACCATCCATGCAGTGGTCAAACAACTCAGAGCTTCCCGTTGCGGGACAATTTAGTCATTCAACGGTAAATAAAAAAATATGCCTTGGGAAAACATTTTATATATAAAAAAGAGGATGATTATATTAAGAACTTTTTTTTTTTTTACAAAATACATTATATTTTACCGATATTATATTTTATTAATAAAATTTTACTTAAAAATATCTTACCGATAAGATATATTATAATTTATAAATAAAAAATTTATAAATATAATTTTTTTTTATAAAAAAATAAAGAGATGTTTTATTTACAACGTCACTTTTCTTGCAATCTCTTACCGTTATTTTTATTATCCTTGGATAACCTCACTTTTCTTGCAATCTCTTACGTTATTTTTATTATTTTTCAATCAAAATTAAATTAATCATTATAAAATTACATAGTCATTAATTTAATTTAATCAAATCATAGTAAAAGTGGTTATAAGAGAAAATAAATTGTAAATGTAATATAAAACTATATTAAAATCTGATTCTCTTTTCTGCAAAAGCTTTTACCTCATAATATTTTATGCTTCAAGATGAGAAATATCTACTTCGATCAATTCAGAAGAGAGATTATTGATTTAAACACCCAAAAATCTTAGCACAATCAAGAAAATTTTGGTTAAAAAAATTGCTTTTTGTTTGTCTTGTTTACCCCACAACAATATTTAGCACGAAAGTTAGTGCAAAACTTTGACGTAGGGAAGGGCATCTTTGTTGCTTGCCTCTTTGGTTGTTCCAAAGATTTTATTTATTTATTTCTCTCTCTCTCTCTCACACTCACACTCTCACACCTATTTGTTTTATTAAAATACAAATGATTCAATTAATTTTCAACTTCCATGAACCCATTTTAATCAATTAGAAAATGCAAAAAATGATTAAATAAACTAAGGTATTGCGTCAGCCTAAGCACATTTAGATCTACACAGAGACAGAGCCTAGCTTACCTCACCTCATCAGCCTGCAGTGGTTGAATGGAATCTCTCTCAGATTTGAGATCTCAAACATCCATCACTTCTTCTTCAATCCCAACGAGCAACCACACCCAGAAACAGATATTTAACTCAGAAACAAAAGATGATAAATTTCATCTAAGTATGAAAAAAGAAAAAGAAAAAAAGAAAAGAAGAAGAGATGAAACAAGAGGGAATGCAAGTTTAATGCTTAAGCTATATTCCAAGTTTAATATATATGTTCTTCTATTCTCGGATAGACAAGAAACTTTAAAAGCACTAACATGAACATGAACATGAACATGAACCTCCTTCAATGGTAGTTCAAAGCCCAATAATAAAAAACTAAAGATAAAATAATTCTAGCCCACAAGAGAAGAGAAGAAAAAGAAAAGAAATTTCTATGTACATTTAGGCACCAACAAAAAGGATCTCATACAAAGAGAGAGAGAGAGAGGAACTTTGAAAAAAAAGAAAGGAAGAAAAAAAAGAGGACTTTTAGCTCTCATAGATCCCTTTCTAGCTTCTCTCTTGAACTTTCTTTGTGCTTATGAATCACTATACTCACGCCAACATATGAGCATTACGACACAGCGCCTCATGATGTAGAAACGAGCCCTTTGCTCCTTCACAAGCCTAGCACACTTTCTACCAAAAGCACACCTTTTCTGAGTTGAATTCTTCATAAGAGGGGTACTTGAGGAACTGCTCCTTGATGACCCTTCTTTCTTTGACAACTTCCACTTCTCGTCGAAGTAGAAAGGTGGGGTACTTTCAGTGCTGATGCTACTACATGTGGATGATGCAGAAGAAGTAGAAGCCATATTGGTGACACACTTCACTTAACAGAGAAAATTGCTATGTTGTTTTTTGGAGAAAAAAGAAAAGAAATGAAAATGTTAAGAGCAATGAGTTTACTAGGACTGAATCACTGAAGGGAGAAGGAATGGGAAAGAGTCAATATTTATAAGGGCCGAGTTAGACTGGAAAAAGGCGTAGCAGACGTGTATGAGTGTGGCAGTGGGTATCACCTGGGCCTTCCTTTGCCTCGAGAGGCCCACATCATTTTTCTAATCATATATATTTTATTAGTATTAGGGGGGTAAACAAACTATGCGCACTTAACTGTTTATATTCTTTGAAATATACAGTGTAGTTTATAATTTTTTTTTTTTTTTTTTATAAATATAACACTATTCTTAGTATTATTTTTGCTATTATTTAGTGTTTGTTTGAATTTTTTTTTAAGTTAGAAGTTATTTATAAGCAGAAGATAAGTCAAATAGATTTTGAAAAAAAATCTTATAATAAAAAAGGTTTTTTTATAATGGAAAAAAAAGTTAAGAGCCAAAAGCTTCTACTAAAAGCTTTTTTTTAAGCTCTTATCAATTTTTCTTGAATTATATGTTTTTTTTTTTGAAACGAAGAGCCATAAAAATAGAGAGAGTTTTTTTAAAAATATGTGCTTTTAAGATAAAATTTTTATATAATTACCAAATAATTTTTAACTTTTTTTTTAAACTTTTTTTTTTGGCTTTAGCTTATAAATTTTATATAAATGTTATAGCTTTTTCAACTCCTAAAATAGGACAAAATAGTGACACAGTTCTTTCTTTTAAAGATTAACCAATGACAATCGCTAACAAATTTTTTGATATTTTTTCCCGTACATTCCACCGGTAATGCACTAATTGTATGTAAAACTAATACAGTAATATTATTGAATGCTAGAGAGCATGGACTGATGTTTAATGCATTGTTTGTTTTGGGAGAATTTGCACTATTTGGTGGGGATAGAAGTAACTGTAAAATTGGGAGAGGTTTTTTGTGAGGATTTGGGATGATTACAGAGGGTAAGATTGGAGATACAGCATGAAAGTGATTTTAATTTTAATTTTTTTTTTGGACCAATGGAAACTTTGGTGTTGAAAAAGTCCATTTCATTTTTCTTTGGAGGCCAAACACTTACATTGCAGAGGAGATTCCAAGGAGGAGGAGAGAGGGGGGTGAGGGTGTGATTTTGTCACCATTCGCTAATTTACTGTGTGAGTGACGTGGAAGCCACTTTTTCTTCTACTGTGAACAATAAAGTTCTCATGGCTGTGTTACCCTGCCTCTGTTTTTTTCTTCAGAAAAGGATTGTCATTTTCTCAGTGGAATTTAAGCATATCTCTTGTCACATAATATCTTTCAATGAATGAGGCTTTTTTATGCTCATTTGTATTTCTTTGGCAGTTAATTTTTTAGGATAAAATAAAATAAAAATGTTATCTAACATAAATTACATTTGTTTTTGTTAATTAGAACCACAGAAGCAAAGAAAAGGTGACTCCTAAAAAAAGAACCAAATCAGAAGGACAAGTGTCTCAGTAGCGAGAAGACAAAGAAATTCACTTTGGAATTCATACCAAAGAAGATAATTAGCAGAGTGATTTCCTTGTCCTAGAACATGATTAATAGTAGCATGCATCCAAATCTTATCTAAAAAGTTTAAATAATAAAATTTGCTTCATGTTGATATATATATTTTTAAAATAAAAATCCCTCATTACAAATTTTATTTTTTACTTATATTAAATATGATTCAATCAACTCATTTTATCACGTCAGTTGCATTAAGAAAATCTTACATATTACTTGAGGGAGGGTAGCCAATCCGCAACCCCTCAAGCTGGACACAACAGAACTCTTGCCAAATCGCCACAACAATATTCATATCCCACAATTTTTATTTATTTTATTGTCAGACGGAAAGACTTTTAAAGTTTTAATTTTATATAAATAAGAATCGGTTAAATATATTTCCATCTAAATATTAACATTAATCCAATACTAAAATGAGGGGAAATGATATTTTCATATCATTTATTTATAACTTTTTTTACACTATCTCATTTAAGGAAAGAAAGAAAAATGTGCTGCGACATGTGTTTTTCTTATATTCTTGAAAAATTAAAAGATTATTTTGATTTCTATCTTTAAATGTTACTAAAAGAGTAATAATAATAATTGTGTGTGTGTGTATATATATATATATATATATATAAATAAGTTATGGTTATAACAATTACAAATTCATAAAAGCAACAGATTTGTATTACTTAATTTTATACTTTTTAAAAATATAATATAATGTGATATTCTTTTTATAAAAGTATCTAGACCTAATAATAATAATAATAATAACATGTGAGACTGTGAGTATCATTCCCTAAAAAAAAAACTCCAATAATTTACCAAAAAAAGAAAAACTCCAATAATCTGTCACGCAAAATCAAGGACTAGATACTTGTTTACAAATTAACTCAAATACTCATCAAAACAATCTGTTGGTGCAAATGTAATTAACATATCTTCTACGACTGAATTCGCAACTCAGACAACCCCAAAAAAAGAAAAAAGAAAAGAAAAGATAAAGATAAAAGAAAAATAAAAACAACACAAACAATTAAATTGATATGTGCAAGACCTTGTGAGAGGAACATTGGTGTAATAAAGGCGAGTCGAACAGACTAAGCATGGCGGATGTGTCGGCACATGAGTTTTATTTCGCATCAAATTAAACTGTAGGATACAAAATGCATGCACTTTTGACACAATCAAAATAACTAAGGACTTGCAGTTTTAAAGAATTGGAAGTTAGTGCAAAAGATATTTAATGAAAAGATATTTAATGAAAAAGATAACCCTAAACCCAAAAGATATCTAATGAAGAGATATTTAATGAAAAGATATTTAATGAAGAGATATTTAATGAAAAGATATTACATGAAAAGATATTACATGAAAAATTGCAAAAGATATTTAATGTGACAAGTTCCACACAGTGTAGTACCACGTCTATTAGTTCATATAACTAAATAATTGGTCTTTCAAAAAATAAAATATAACTAAATAATTGCAAAAGATATTACAAGAAAAATTGATGTAATAAGTATTTAATGATCCTATGAGTTATATAAGATATTGAAAAATTGTATCAATCCTTTGTTTATATCTACATAAGCTAATCTAAATAAAATTAAAACAAAATCTTAAATGATAAGATAATATTTTATATAAATAAGTAAACTAAATATTGTTATGTAAATTTAACGGTAGATATTTGATACAAGTAAAAAGGAAATTTTTATTTAGATTAATGATTAAAATTTAAAAACTAATTGAAATAATTTAAAACTTAGGGCGCGTTTGGTACGCGAATTTTATGAGAAATCATGGGAAAGCTGAGACACTGACAAATATGGTCACCACGTTTGGTATCTGACTTCCTGAAAATTTTCTGGGCTACATTTCATTCTAGGAAAATGGTCTTCTTTGTTAATTGTTGTATGGAAAGCGAAATCAGAGTTCCAAATAAAATAAGAAATTCTTGGCTGCCCGGAGAAGAGAAAATCGAAGCGGGAAAAGGAAGACCAAAATGACCTTATGTTTTGAATGAAAAGGTAAAAGTGAGGTTATTTTGGTAAAATAACCTCACATTCTCACTAATATTTCATAACCAACCAAACACAAACTCAGTAAAATTAACTTCATTGTTTCGGGAAAATTTGAGTCTATCAAACAGCTTTTTAGTAACATTCTAGTAAAATATATTCCCCTCTACATTTCAGTAATAATTATTTCTCAAATAAAAAAAAATTTATCCTATACCAAATATCCCTTACAGTAATAATTTGAAAAAAGTCAAAATTCTTTAATGTACCGTTACTCGAGCCATGATAATGTTAAATTAAAAGAATTCATTTTTTCCGTCTTTACTTTTCTCAACACCATCAAATAATAAAAGCTTAATTTTTTTTTTCATTTTCTTTTCAAATAAATTTCAAAAAGAAATTATTAATTCTTCTTAATTTAGAATTTTCCTCCTCGTTTCCTCTATTTCAAGTAGGGTTTTATAAGAGTTATGTTGTAGAAAAAATGATTGTGTAATGTTATAGAGATTCGTTTTGTATGCCGTAGTTTTTTTTTTTTTTCTTCAAAAAATGTGGACCCCACAAAATGTTGTGTGTGTAAATTTTTTTTTTTTATCATATTAAATGATGAATGCAAACCCTTTTAAGTAAGCTTAATTAATTCCTCGGATGGTATCCGCAAAAGGGTATCCCCTACTCTTATTATTTTTTTTATTTGTTCAATTTATTATTTTATTTTGGTATATGAGGGTATAATACTATAATCTATTTTCTGTATTGCAATTTAATACAAGAAAGATATTTAGTTGCCTTGATTTTCCCATAACCACAAAGATGACAGGTGTCAAATAGATCATACCATTACCTTTACCGAGTGTGAGTACTTTTTACCTACTTAAGGTTTTGGTGATTTGTTGCCTCTGCCTCTGAACTCACACCCTTGTGTGTGTGTTCGGTGCACGAGCCACCACCGACCCACCAGTCCACCACCACACGCTAAGCAATTGTGATTCTGTGAATCTATTTATTTATTTCTATCTCTCCCTCTCTTGATCATTTATCTTACCAAGCGCATGCATTGCTTAAAGTATGTATTTTACACTTTGCAAAAGTGATTCTTTGCATGAACCCATTCGTGGTAAAATATTAACAAAGCCAAAAAGAAAGGTGATATTGTGAATTATGTGACCCTACGTTGGACTTTTGTCGATACCAAATTTGTGGGGGGGCTTCTTCTATCAAGGAAAAGAACGCATGACCCCGGTGACATATTCGAAGCTGTGTGTATATGAAGAGTGTGATCACCTCCTAGTGATACCATTTTTACATTAATTAGGGGTGTAAGGTCATGTGCTGCTACAAACAGGTGGACCCGTATCGGTTTTGCCATGGCGTTGAGCATCATGCTC